AATAATAAACAAGACCATCATAATCATTCATTTCATAATTAATTCTTATCATTTTAGCAAACAAGTAAAGTGTTTCCTTGGTGGGGAAACAATCAATTTTACTGAAAATTGCATCCATTTCCCCCATTCTCTAAAATATCTTTTTGCTTGCTCTTATAAACTGTTTTAATTATGAAATGAATGATTATGATGGTCTTGTTTATTATTCTGTTGTTATTCTGTTGTTATTATTGTTATTATTATTTAAATTATAATTAGATTATTGTTCTTATTTAAATTATTACTATGAAAAAGGGATAAAAACCCTACGAAATATCAAATGGAGAAAATTTATAATCAAACATATTTTTTTTTAAAAAAAGAAAAGTTTAAATGCAGGAATTTATAATAAGGAATTTTTAAAAACCCAATACTGAATGAGGTAATTTATATTAAGGAGGAAGAAGAATAAGATTGTGGGATCCTTGGAGTTCTCTGAGCTGGGTGGTTTTCTTGCAGACATCTCATGACTCAACTAGGGAATGTCATCAGTGCTGAGAGGAATGACATATATAAACAGAAAGCAAACCCTCCCCCCCTTGCTTCTAGCACTGAGGATCATTCTAAATTAAAAGGTGTTTTTTGTTCTTCAAAAGACAACTGGAATTTCTTGGTGTTTTCTTCGAAGACGTTTTGCTTCTCATCCAAGAAGCTTCATCAATTCTGATGGGGGGGGGAATGCCCCAGATTACTTTGGGTCTTCCCTTCCCTTTTCTTTCCTCTCCTTCCTTTTCTCCCCTCCCTCCCTCCCTCTCTCTTTCTCTTTCTCCTTTCCTTTCCTTCTTTCTTTTTTCTGTCTTTCCTTCCTTCCTTCCTTCTTTCTTTCTTTCTTTCCTTCTGTTCCTTCCTTTCTCTTTCCCCCTCTCCTTCTTGCCTTCCTTCCTTCTTTTTTTCTTTCTTTTTTGTTTTTCCTTCCTACCTTCCCTCTTTCTTTTTTCTTCCTTCCTTCCTTTCTTTCCTCCCTTCAATCCTTCCTTCCCTCCCTCTTTCTTCCCTTCTTTCTTTCCTTCCTTCCTTCCTTCCTTCCTTTCTTCCTTTCCTTCCTTCCATCCATCCTTCCGGGCGCTGTCCAACCCATCAGCTGGGCGAGAAATGGGAAAAAAGGGGAGGGTCTCCTCGCCGCGGTGGCCGCTGGGACTCGTAGTTCCCCCACCCTGGGAGGGCTGCAGAGCACCCCCACCCCAGGAACTACGGCTCCCAGTTGGGCTTTGCGCGCGATCCACCGCTCGGCCTTGGAGATCTCTCGCCCGATTGCCGGAGCATCCCACTCATCCAACCCGCCCCCCCCGCCCCATCATCCACTCCCGGGTGGTGGCGGTGGTGGGGAATGCAGGAGGATGAACCCGGGCTCCGGAGGGTTGGGGACGGCGGAGACCCCCGAGGCTGCGCGCGGGGTAAGGCTGCTTGCGCTCAGGGTGCCCCCTTGGGGAGGGGAAGAAAGGCACGGCTCATCCTGGGGCTGCTTGGGGGAGGGAGGGGGTGGGTGGGGGGTTCAGATTGCGGGGAAGGAGGAGGATGGGCCGCCCGGCCCCCAGCCTTGGGATGTGGGGGTGTCCGCAGGCAGCGCCTCAGGTCCGGACCGGACTGAAGGCCATGCAGGTCTTCGGTGGGTTTTTTCCCCTTGCAGGCATTTGTGTGTGTGTGTGGTTGTCTATGTGTGGCTGTGTGGCTATCTGTGCAGAAAAGCCCACGGGTGGGTCTGGACGGAGGACAACTGCTTGGCAGCAGGCAGAAGAGGAGGAAGAGGGAGAGGGAGGGGGGAGAAGGAGAAGGAGGAGAGGAGGAAGAGTAGAAAGATGGGGGGGAGGAGGAAAGAAGAGGAGGAGGAGGGAGGAGAAGAGAAGGAGGAAGAGGGGGAGGAGGAAGAGGAGGGGGAAAGAGGAGGAAGAAGAGAAGGAAAAAAGAAAAGGAGAGGGAAAGAGAAAAAGGAAAAGGAGGAAGAAGAGCAGGATAAAGGGGAAGAGGAGGAAGGGGAAGAGGAGGAGGAAGAGGAAGAGAAGGAGAAGGGGGAAAGAGAAAAAGGAAGAGGGGGAAAAGAAGGAGGAAGAAGAGGAAAAGTAGAAGGAGGAGGGGTAGAGGAGGAGGAGGAGGTAGAGGAGGAAAAAAGAGGAGGAATGATAAGAGGAGAAGGAGGAAAAAAGGAAGAGGAGAAGGCTGAGAGGGAAAGAGGAAAAGGAGGAGGAGGAAGTTCTGGGAATCATCCTCCTGCCCCTGTCTCATCCTGTGACGAACTCTATGCATCTTGCCAAGGAAGAGTCAGGCAAGCAAGGTCATTAAATGGGGCCAAACTCCCTGGGCAAGCTCCACTTAGCAACCAAAGTATTGGACTCAACAGCGGTCACAGCTTGAGGACTAGCTGCTGTATTATTATTTGGAGGCCTTTGTGTTTGCTTCCCCGCGATCTCCTCGGAGGTCATCTAATCCAACCGCCTGCTCGAGCAGGAGACCCTTCAAGAATCCGAGAATGGCAAAGAGTTGGAAGGGCCTTGGAGGTCATCTAGTCCAACCCACTGCTCCAGCAGGAGACCCTACCGATGGCAGCCCAATCCGATCCTAGGGAAAGTTGTCTCCCATGTCCAGCATTCCTTGAGGTGTGGAAGCGATGAGGGTCGACCTCCGTCATACACGTCTATCTTTCGCCTTTTGAGTTCAGGCCCAGCATGGAGCCCTCGGCACGGCTGGTGCGGCCCTCACAGCGCTGGACCAGGTGACCTTTGAGGACGTGGCCGTGGAGTTCTCGTTGGAGGAGTGGTCTCTGCTGGAAGGCAGTCAGAAGGATCTCCACCAGGAAGTGATGCTGGAGTTGTGCTCTTTGCTTCTTTCACTCGGTGAGCTTCTCTCTCTTTTCCGCCCCGTTCGTGGTGGGGTGGAAGAAAAAACAGCCAAGGGTGATCCCGGGAGGTTGGGGGAGAGGCATGACTCAGCTTGTGGCCAATGTTGTGGCCCGCTGGATAGCAGAGCTGGCAACAAAGTTGGACAGTAGTGAGGAGATTGAGGTGGGACCTGGGCCACTCCTGGAGGCAGAGGAATGCTCCGACGGAGGCTCTGCGTCAGAGGCAGAGATGGGGCCAGGGCCGCCTGGCAGTTATCAGCTGCCATCAGCGATCAGTGGGGCAGAAGAACAGCTGGAGCCTGTTCCCAGTGACCACAGCTAGGAAACAAGGGTCAACATGGGATTAAGGCCACAGGTGGATGGTGAATGGCCCCTCCCATAGGGATTAAAAGAGGAGCGAAAGGGGAGGGGGCTTTTGCAGGAAACAATTTGTTCGTTGCCACAGTGGGAAGATCTGTCTGTGCATCTCAGAGACTCCGTGCCGAGTCCTTCCTTGTCAGCACTGCGTTTGGAAACATTTACTTGGCCGCCCTCCAGGCTAGATCGGGGCTGTGCTCCTAATCACACCCTTGAAAGGCTGTTGGCCAGGCCTTTGGCGGAAGGCGAATGCAAGAAATTCGCCTTCCTTTCATAAAAGGGGTTTTGCTGGGATAAAAAATCTGCTTAGTGCTTTTTGGGGGAAGCTGAGGTCAGAACAGTGGGGGGCTGTCCTAGGAGTTAGAGGAGGCTGCTGGGGATCGGGCCCTGCTCCATGCAATAGCCCACAGGGAAGAGAAATGGGTTCTCCCTCTACGAACCTTCCCGAGTAGAAAAAAGAAATCCCGGAAGTTGGAGAAGAGGTCCAAGCAGAAGGCCAGGCCCCCCTTCTCTTGTAGCTCTCTCTTTCCGTCTCTGGGCTCCTCTTTTCTCTCTGAGCTGGGTGTTTTTCTGGCACAGGCGTTCTATTACTGATGACGTTCCCTAGTTGGGTCATGAGGCGTCTGCAAGGAAACCACCCAGCTCAGAGAGCACCAAAGAGCCCACAGTCCTCCTCCTCCTCCTCTTCTCTTCCCCTCTTCTCCAGAAACCCCTCCACCCCCGCTCCCTTCTAGCACTGATGACGTTCCCTAGTTGGGTCATAAAACGTCTGCAAATAAATTACCAAGCTAAGGAGGTCTCCAGGGCCCCATAGTTCTTTTCTTCCTCTTCCTCCTCCTCCTCTCTTCCCCTCCTCTTCCTCCTCCTCTTCACACACTCCCTCCTTCTCTAAGGTCTGCCAGGAAGCCATCAAGCTTAGAGAGCCACCTAGAACCATATTGTTCCTTCCTCCTCCTCCTCCTCCTCCTCCTCCTCCTCC